AAGCACACCCAGGAGTCCAGAGCATCTTCAGAGGGTCCCTCTATATTTCACCCGGTCAGGAGGCTGCAGTCCTCCTCTGCTTGAGTTATGTTGTCAGCGGCAGGACAACCAGTCGGCTGGGGAGGCAGTGGGAAGCACTGGTATCTGTCATAATCCCATGCAGCTCTGGGGTGCCTCAGGGTGCCCCTGAAAACAAAGGGTACCCTACAATGAGAAAGGAGAGAACTTTAACATTTCTTTTCAGCAGTGGGTTTGTAAGCGATGGAGGTATCAGTCCAAGCCCATTACAGGATTTTCAGGCTGATTCCTTCCGGATTTAGATTTAGGGTTTATGGCAACAAGGTTCATTTAACACATGACCAGAAAACAAATCAGAGTTTGGGGAACAGAGTCGGGGTGATGGGGGTTTTGAGAAAGAACACAAAACTTCCTGAGGTGGTTTCTAAAGAGGCTGATGGTGTTTCACGACTCCCAGGGCGATGCTCATTCAGCCCAGTGTTCCCAGAAGGCCCCAGCTGAGAGGTGGGACCCGGGGTCTTCCCAGGCCACTGACCTGGTGCGGGGCAGCAGTGGGCTGGTCTGGGCTGCTCACCTGTGGGTCTGGGAAGAGGAAGACGGCACAGGTGGCCAGGCCCCTGGGGACTCAGCCCAGCCTCCACTGTCACTGGAAACGCCAAGGGAGAATGGAGTGCACCTTGTCCCTCTCCTTGTCTGAGAGGTAAAGGGGTGCTGGGGTGAGGATGGCAAAGATGAGACTGTGGACCCCAGAGGACAGCATGAAACCAAAGAGCACATCCCCACCATCATGGGGGGAAGAGCATAGACTCCTCAAGTGCCCAGGTAGCTCTCACAGTGGCAGATCAGACACCTGGCAGAGCAGAGGCCCCTGCTGGAGAGGCAGGCAGGTTGGGGAATGCTGACAACAGGCTGTGGGGAGCCAGCTTGTTCCACAGGCAGAGCCTGGCCCCCAGCTATACTATAACTCATGGTCACCAGCCATGGAAGGACCCTTCCTTGTGTCCCTTACCCCAACCCCAGAGCCCAGTGGTTCCCAGTCAGCTCAGGAAGGCTTCAACTCCTCCAGGTCCTCTGAACAGATGGGCCACCTCCCCCTCCCCTCACACTGCCATACAGACACCTACAGTCTACAGCCCCGGCTTCCAGCCTCAGGACCTGACACCTGCGCCTGAAAACAGATCCTGTGCCAGGCACTGTGGGAGGATCAGGGCTGGCTCCAAGGCTGGATCCACGGCCCTGCTCTCACAGGCCCTCAGGTAACACAGGGTCCAGCTTGGGACAAGAGTCCTGACTCCTCAAGCTTGGGTCTGTGCTGTATGAGTGAGCTCTTCAAGGCCCGAGTCCCTGTCTTTCACTCAAGTTACAGTTGTGTTCAACAAATATTTACAAATATTTGCCTGTGTGGTTTTTGGTGAAGGTTATTAAATTCTTTTGGGGATCTCTCACTTGTACATGTCCCTGTCGAGACTGGGTTGGCTAGGTTTGTAGAAATGAGGCACCTTAACCACAACCCCTATCCCATGACACCTTCCTCTGTGGGATCAGGGTAACTGCAGGCAGTTTGGGGTCTGTGGTGGGATGTTGAGTGGGAATGCTTCAGTTTGGGGTTTGTGATTCATATTTATGCGCTCAGCACCCCTACCATGCACAGCCATCTCAGGCAGCTTCCCAGACTTCTCTTGCTCACTGTGCTGGGCACCCTGATGTTCCAGGAAAGTTCCAGCTCTGCCAGGGCCTGACTCTGTCTGGCTGAGCCTGGAACCAGAAGTACAGGAGCGCAGGAAGTACCTTAGCTGCTGGAGAGACGGTGCCAGAGCAGGTCTTCCTGAAAGCAGGACAGAGACAGCAGCCAGCTAATCGTAAAGACAAGGTTCCTGTGTTGTGATATCACAGCCTAAAGGGTTCTTAAGGCTTGCAGTTGGTTATGACTTTTCACTCTACTTTGAAATCGCTTTTTTCTCCTCTCCCTTTTCTTAAAGAGGCCCTGGGTGATCATGTAAAGTACAAACCTGGGGACCCTACATGGCCCTGCCTCCACTCTGCAGATGCTCTCTCAGGCACCAACCAGGCAGCAGTGAGCAGAAAAGACCGGCCCAACACCCGATCAGTGCTTTACAAATGCTGGCCTGGACCCAGTTCCACCCTAGAGTCCAAGTTTCAAGGAGGTCCAGGGTGGTCCCCACAGCAGCTCTGGGCTTCTTGACAGGCTTCATAACCATCCCCTTGTCCCTTAAGACAGGGGTGGAGTACGTGCTGGTGTCGGACACTATGCTGTCCAACAAAGCCTCTGTGGTCATGGGGCAAGCTTTTAGAGTTTGATTGATTATGGGTGTGAGAGCTACACCCACCCTGGGATGGATAGTTTGCATATGTAAGGGAGAGGAAGAGGCTGCTTGCCGCCATTCCTCCCTTTTAGTGTTTGTTGATTTTGCTGTGTTCTGCCACCATGAGCTGTAGCCCTCTGCCATGTGCCACTCTGCCTTGTAACCTGCCAAGTATGGACTGAAACCTCCACAAACTGTAAGTGAAATAAACCTTTCCTTCCTTAATTTTGGGCTTAAAGTATTTTGTCCCAGCAACGAGAGAAAAGTAACCAAGACAGAAGGCCTCTGTCCAGGCTTAAGTGACAAGTCTGAGCTGGCGTCCCACAGTCTAAGCTACAGGACAGCTCCCTTGGTCTGTGCCATGGCCTGAGATGTGAGACTGTGGGCTGAATGCTCATGCTGAATCCACATGCTGGACCTTATCCCAGCATGATGGTGTTAGCAGGTGGGGCCTTTGACAGGTGGTGAGGTCCCTGGAGTAGAGCTTCCTGGATGGGAAAGAAGCCTAAGGGAGCTGTCCACCCGTGGTGTGTAAGGACACTGTGAGGCACCCGCTATGAAGCAGAGACAGAACCCTCATCAGACACCAAATCTGTTACTATCTTGACCTTGGACTTCCAGATTCCAGAACTGTAAGCAACAAGTGTTTGTTGTTTATAAGCTGCCCAGTCTATGGTGCTTTGTTATAGGAGATTGAAAGGACTAAGACAATGGCCTTGTGTGTTTCTTTGCAAATACTCAATTTTAAAACACAAGGATTCTTGGTTCAGCAAAATTAGTCAATTAATCACTTCTATCCAGGAGGGATGGTGCTATCAGCTTACTGCTTAGAAGGTAAGGTCAGCCCACTGGGGCAAGTGGGGTCTCCTAGGAGGTGTTTATCAGTCAGGTAGCATTATAAAGGCCCAAAAGGTCAGTGTGTAGGATAGGACAGACTGCAAAATATGAAGGACAGGTACAAAAAAAGGAGGCAAAACGGCCTAGAGCCCCTCCACACACTGAGCCACTGCACTTATGCCCCATCTCTGGAAAGGACTGGGTCTCTTTGTCCCTCAGTGACCAACTGGCCACCTTTCGTCAGACCTCTATAGGTGCAGATAAGGTGGCTAAAACAGAATTCTCTGCCCCTGGCTGCCCTAAGAGACACCTGCCACCCCCTTGGCCCAGCCACAACTGACAAAGCCCAGGTGCTATCCACTGCACCTGCAGGGACACACAGAGCCACCAGAGTAGGACAAGTGTGCTGTTAAGCTAATTTTTTAAAACGTTATAAAAGTAATATTCATTTCAGAAAATGCAGGAAACTAGAGAAATTATACTGAAAGTGTGCATTTATAGTGTTCTTACTTGGATGCAATGTCCACAATGTTCTCTTACTGCCCACAGGGGATGGGTGATTCCAGGACACCCTGCAGAAACCAAATTCAATAGAAACTCAAATCCCTTCCACAAAACCGGGTGGTGTTTGTATATAATCTATGTACATCCACTATTTATGTATTTATTTTGGTTTATGAGACAGGGTCTTACTACATAGCTCAAGCTAGACTTTAACTCAGCATGTAGCCCATGCTGGCCTCGAACCCTTGGTGATCCTTCTGCCTTGGCCTCCTGCGTGCATCACCATGCCCTTCCCTGAGTGCACCGCCATACGTTAAATCATTCCTAGATTACTTATAATTTAACACAATGTCCATGCCATGTAAGTAGTCATTGTGCTGCATTGTTTAGAGAATAACAACAAGAAAAACATCTGCACATGTTCAGTACAGACGCAATTCTTTTAAAAAAATATTTTCAATCCACAGTTGGTTGAATCTTCAGATGTGGACTCTGCAGACAGAAGGACTGTGCTCATCTATGTCTTTAAAAGACAAGGTTGGGCTTTCTGTGGGGGAGATGGGCCTGACGAGTGCTCCTCCCACCGGCCCTTCCCAGGTAAACTTCATACACTCAGTCCTTTTATTCCAGGTGTTGATTCTCAGTCCTTTACTTCTCCTCCCAAAGCCAGGCTCTTGCCAGGGAAGCCCTTAGCTTGTAAGACATTAAGTTCTGAGTGTCCAAGAACCCATTTTAGAATTAAGGCCAAGAATTTGACTCTGCTTTTTGTTTCTCAACTAGCCTCTGAGGGTAGAAAGAAACACCAAGAATAAAAATGATTGGCTAATATGTCAAAAATTGTCCTCCCATGTTATGATAGACATATCTATTAAGGCTCAGGAACTGCTCAGCAATGAAGACCAAATAAATAAACAGATAAATAAATGAAGGCCTGATGCAGTGACACAGGCCTATAATCCCCAGCTACTCGGGAGGTTAAAGCAAAAAGATTACAAATTTAAAGCTAGCCTGGGCAATTTAGTGAGATCCTATCTCAAAAACTCTAAAGGGCTGGGAAAGTATCTCAGGGCAAAGGCCCTGGACTCAATCTCTAGCATCACAGAAACATAAAAATAAAATTAAAAGAGAAGCTAGGGATGTAGCTCAGGGTAGCATGTTCCTGGGTTTGAAAACGATGGAGGGCTGGGGATATAGCTCAGCAGCATAAGTGCTTGTCTGGCAAGCCTGAGGTCATGAGTTCAATTCCCAGTACCAAAAAAAAAAAAAAGTAATGTTGTGCTCGCTTCGGCAGCACATATACTAAAATTGGAACGAAAACGATGGAGAAGCCAAGCCCTCTGCACTGCAGACTCCGCAACCATCTCCCATGTGTGGTCTCACTCTCATGAGTGAGAATGTTTCTGAGATTGGTTTACTTTTATCATGAGACACCAGGAATCTTCTTAAAAGACACCTGGAGTTTCTTTTAATCGGGAACGGAACACTGTGGTAAGGAAGAGGTTTGTTCTCACAGAGTGCTAGAAGCAGGAGGCCCCTCAGGCAGGCCAGGGGGATGCGCAGGGCAACCAGGGGGCAGAGGGAGGGCACTGCAGACAGGAGTCTGTGGTGTGGTTTTCACAGAAGGACCGGAGTGGTGGTCAGCAGGCTGAGGATCTTCCATCTTGAGTTCCCTGAGCAGCTGTCCCCAGATGTCTGTACCTGGCTCAGGGGTGATTAGGACAGGTACTGAGCGGTTCAGGTGACATCCAAGGGTATCCTTTGCTCTCTCTAAGAATTGGTAACCAGGAAGGCCATCTTCCAGGGTCAATAAGCCCCCAACATGTCCAAACACTAGAATAAAAAAAAAATCCATAATGAGTATAAAAATATGCCTGCTGGTATTTGTCTCTTAACAAAAGCAGTCCATAAGCTCAGAACCAAATGTGGTGTCTACTTTACCGCCTTGAGGCATGTGTCTCATGCCCGGTCCATCTCAGCTTTTTGACCCTTGCTGTAGTCTCTTCACTTGTTTATATGTCATCTTTTATCACCTGTTCTAAATGATCCTAAGTCCTTCCTGGGACAACACTTTGAGCAGTAGGTGGGGTAGAACTATCACAGTCTCCTGATAGGCCCTCAATATTGGGAATAAGAGCTCACAAGAGTTTCATAAAAGCAGTCATGAACCGCACAGCACCACATCCCATGAAAGAGAACTCACCAAAGCCTATTGTGAGGTGCTGTGGCTGGTTGTACCCATGGCCCTTGTTATGCACTAAAATCAAAATGACCCTATCGTGGAGTTCAGCAGAGTTTGGGGATAAAAAGGGCTTCTCCTCCTATGGAGATCTCTGGTGCAGCAACAGTCAGCAGCTATCTTGGTCTGTTTGGTCTCTTACAATGAAATGCCACAGACCGTGGTTCATAAACTACAGACATTTATTTCTGACAGTGTTAGAGGCCCGACATCCAGGATCACAGGTGTCAGGTTCCGCGTCTGGTGAGGGTCACCCTCTGGTCAGTAGGCAGCATCTGCTCCCTGCATCTCACACAGCGGAGAGACAGAGAGCAAGACGCGTGCCCCTTCCACTTGCACCAGTCCCACCAGGCGGTGCTCCCACCTGACCTGGTCACCTCCCAGCGGCCCCCAACTCATCACCCTGAAGCTCAGGGTTCAGCATATGAATTTGAGGGGACACTAACATCCAGACCAAAACATTTATGATGTCCGTCAAGGCAACAGTCAAAGACATCGACTATTTTAAAAAGAAAACAGTTTATTTGCAAAAAAGGGCAAGGAAACCAGACTTCAATAAAAAAAAAATGTCATCCAAAGAAATTTTTAAAGAACATCAGTATTACTTAAATGGCTTAATGAATAATACAACAGTATGTAGTGTTTTTTAAAAAGCAATTAATAATAAAATATTTAAACAAACAAACAAACAAAAACAAATAAAAACTCCTCATATAATTATTCACAGTGCTGCGTTACTTCCCAAGTCAAAGACAAAGCTGCCTCTATCAGAGTCCAGGTTCTCAGGAAATGCTCAAGACTGTGTTATGTGGGGACCAGAACCAGACAGAGCGACTGTTGTTTTGTTTCACATGAAGGTACAAACTGTTTTTCCTGATTGTTTGTGATCAGCACACATGGATCATGGGGCTCAGCCACGTGCTGATTTCCACGTGATGCATCGTTTGTTTACATCTTGATCCGTTTCTCTCCTCATCACAGTATCATTTCAGGCCCTTCCTGCAAAATCATAACTAAAATCATATCTCCCCCAAGAGCACACAGTTTTCTGCTGCTCGGATCAGGTTGTTCACAGGGATACAAGGAAAATGTGGCTGTGAAAACAGGAAGTAGGTTCGGTTCACAATGAAAAGATCAAGAGTTCAAAGGTTGCTAAATTCTTTTCCCTCCTTCTCTTCACCTGCCCTGAGACAAACGAGTCACTGCGTCTGATCTTACTGGAACAGAACAATATCTGGAACCTTCCCTCCTGGAGCCTGTAACTCTTCATCAGTACAAAAGCTGTGCACAGAGCAGGGCATGGCCTTAGCTTTCACCTCTGAACCAGGAACTTCAAACCCACACCAGAAGCAGGTTCTACAGTTCCACCTTTTATCACCTTGTATAAATGATCCTAAGTCCTTTCTGGAACAAGACTGTAAGGAGGAGGTGGGATGGGATTTTGTTTGCAAGCATCTGCCTTTCCAAAAACAGTAATAAAGGCATTGAAATCACGTAAGGACTCAGAGAAAAAAGTCAAATGTGGTGGCACATGCCTCTAATCCCAGCACTCTGGGATGCTGAGTCAGGAGAATCCCAAGTTGGAACCCAGCCTGTGCAACTTAGCAAGACCCTATCTCAAAATTTAAAGAAAGAAAAAAAAAATTTTAAAAAAGCAAAAAACAGCCCTGAGGATGTAGCTCAGTGCAAAGGCTTCAGGTTCCATTCCCAGTAACACACAAACACATACCAAAGAATAACAATTAAAAAAAGGCCAGCCCAAGCCCTCATGTCACGACACAAATTTGAAACACTGAAACACTCAAAGCATGCTGAGATCTGTGCTTGTTCTAGTGTCAGTGCCTCTGCTAAGGATACGTGGAGTCCCTGGCCCTTTCTTGGGGGAGGAGTTGGTGGCAGTAAGGGCTCCAACAATAGCAGTGGGCAGAATGTGACACTGCCTGGCTCTCAGACCACTGGTCTCCACCAGGTGAATCTTTTGCTGGGGAGGGGTACTAGGGATTGAATCTAGGGCCTTCATACTGAGCTACATCCCCAGCCCTTTTTATATTTTATTGTGAAACAAGATCTCACTAAATTGCCCCAGCTAGGCTCAAACTTTTGATCCTCCTGCCTCAGCCTCGCAGAGTTCTAGGCTTACAGCCATGTACCACCATGCCCAGCCCAGGTAAATGTATTTTGAGAGTCATTTGCTCATCTTGTCCTTGGGCTGTCTGTTCTCCCCTCCTTGATCATGACACTGAAATCCCCTTGGCCATGTCCATGGTGGGACTCACTTTTCCCAGCCATTGTTCCCCAGGTCAGGGGCAGGTCCTTGGCTCCAGGCAGATTTTTTTGCTCCTGGAACTCCTCAAACAGAACTGTGCTTTGAAAAGGTTGGACCTACAAGTGCAAGTCTGGAGCTGAGGGTGTGTGTTCTCTAAGGGAGGCCAGAGGAACCAGAAAACCACCTACATGAAGGGAAGAATGAAACAAATGCTCCAAGTGGAGGGCAGCAGCCACAGGGAGGGCCCAGCCTGTGCAGCCGCCCAGCTCTTGTGAGGCCAGTGCTCCTGCATACCTCGCCAGGCTCCAGCACTGCTCAGCGTGGCCAGCTGGCTGCTCCTCACTTGCCACCGCGTCTCTTAATGCAGCCAAATACTCCTAAATGCTACTTTTATTGCCAAAAGCATTCTCCACTACCCAAAGGCATTTTTTCATTTCTTAGAACACATTCAAGAATGTTAATTTCTTTGGGGTTGGAAACAAATGCAATAGTTGAGTGTATGTGCGTGGTGTTAAGCCAGACTTCAGTTCAAGTTCTGGCTCTACACTTAGTACTTGCTGATGCCGTTTCTAGACCTTTCTTAGCCTCATCTTTCCATGTGCAACATGGGACAGCCGAGTTGCACTGACCTCCATGGGCTACCTTGAAATGCAAGTTTCACAGAAAGGTAGGAGATACATCTCTCTTCATACACTTGATCTTAGCCAAAAGGCCGAGAAACGATATCTCTCCTCATACGGAAAGAGATTCACAACCATCTCACTTATCTTTGACAAGATTAGAGAAATAGGAGCCCATTTGTTTATTTATATCTATTTGGATTGGGAAAATTCACATAGAAACATAGCAAAAATCAGCTCTCTGGGTGATTTCCATTTTTTTTTCTTTTTGCTCTATTTTCTCACTTGTCCACAGTAACAATAAAACTTCACATGTCATCTCTATTGAAGAAATCAAGGGAAATACATTCCTCAGTAGGGGCCTTGAAATCTTTTTCCTAAAGAGTGCTTCATTTGTCATGCTTGAAGTCAGATATAACCTTAAGGATCATTTCATTTAAATGCTTCTGTTCAAACCAGACTACAAAGTTGATTACAACAGACATTTCAAGAATGCAACTTACCTTGATCTGCAGTTTGCCTTGAAAGGCATCCAGGTATCCTAGGGATGAATGTGAGTAGAGGTGGGCAGGTGGGAGGACAGGGGCTGGCATGGACTCCGGTGGTGCATGTAGGTGTTCATGAACTGTCCTCAATGAATTTCTGTATTGTCAAGACTTTTTATAATAAAACATCAGGAAAGTTCCTGAATCCATTCAGGTAATGAGCTCAAGCAGTTCAGAAATAAAGTAAAACCTCTCTTGCTCTCTCTCACTCGCTCGCTCTCTCTCTCTCCCTCCCCCTCTCTCCCTCTCTCTCTCCCTCTCTCTCTCCATGTCTCTCTCTCTCTGTCTCCCTCCCTCTCTCTCTCTCTCTCTCTCTCTCACACACACACACACACACCTCTAGCAGTGTCCCGCAGGTACCCACACTACTCCCTCACATTTTCATTGAGACAAAAAAGTATTTCTCGCCAGCACCCAGCGAATTGAGAGAGCTTTGGCCTCCTGGTCTGAGTCCCTGCCATGGCTCGCTCCCTGTCAGCAGGGCTGCAAACACCTGACATTTCTCACCAGGCCAGCCAGGCATCCTGAGAGCTGGCAAAGGTCAGGAGTTGCCCTCCTGACCATGTTGATGGCAGACACTCGCAGGAAGAAAATTCATTGTTCCCAGCAACAAGACTTTTTCTTGCCAGCATAAAATTCAAAAATAGACTCCAACTACGAAGATGTACGTGCATGCAGCTGATAACGCGTAGAACTGCAAATCCTCTTGGCTTTGCATTCGGCAAGAAGCTTCCTCATGATCATGAGCCATAAAACATGGATATGCCCAGAAATTAGGGTGTGAAGTGGCCTCATAGACTGGTAAGAGGAGCAGACAAAACAGGTGTGCCTTTCAGCACACGGTCAGTGGCTACAAACAGGCAAGTCGTAGGAGAGAACATCGGCCAGTGAGCACATTATTCACACACCCCTCAAAAAAGAAGTTCAACTTTGCTAGTAAGCAAAGAAGATATATCAAGCCAGAAGTTAAATTTTTTTCACTCATCAAATTTCTAAAGGTTGAAAACATGATAATGACAGGCATGGGTTGGTAGGGGTCCATTCAACCCCTTCCCTCTTCCATGCCCACTGACCCTTTCTCTCCATTTTTTTTACTCTTTTCTTCTGTTTTTCTGCAGCCCAGGGTTGACAGCTTACCTGGCTTCAGTCCCTGTTTTCTTCTGGTTCCAGCTCACCGTCACTCATGTGGCTCCACAGCCAAGAGGAATTCATCTGCCTGGGAAGATGCCAGCCACGCACAGGCCAATTTGGAGAATTACATGGGCGGGAGTTAATTCTGCAGGAATTAGCACATGCACTATCTCCCACTGGAAACCTGGTCTAGAAAAAGCTCAGCTGATGACATATGCAACATTTCCTTCTGGTGAAAGCACAAGGCCTTTCTGCTCTCAGTTGCCACTTTCCAAGCAAAAACTGCCATTATGAAAAAAAAAGGAGTTGGTAAGAAAATAAGATGTGGATTCAGGTTCCCACATGCTCCCCTTTGGGCAGCACTTCATTGCAAAGTCACAGTGGGGACATCTGTCAAAACACTCAGGAGCTCTGAGGGTGTATGGGTCAGGGCAGCAGCAAAGAAGAGGGCTCTTGAGCTGCTGACCAAGACACAGGTGTGTGGTGCCTTCAGTTTAGATCTTTCTCTCTCTCTCTCTCCCCCCACCACACACACATACACACACATAGAGGTTTATCTCTTGATAAAACAGACCTTAAGGTTGCAGAGTGTGTCAAAGCAGGCATACAGTTTTACTCAGTTATCCACTGATTCACTAACTTTTATTGGGCACCTGTCTGACCCAGACACTGGATCTACAGAGACAGATGTGTCCCTTCCCCGAGAGCCTGTGTTCCAGTGAAGGAAGCAGATCAAACAGGAGGAGAGAAGGAAAACAACATATGCTACAAGGCCATAACAAGGCCCACCCAGGAGAGCCCCAGGGATAGCCATGTCCTGAATCCTCTGTTTCAAAACTGACTTCTGGGCCTCTCTAAGCCTAGAATGCCGGCCCCACCCAGGTGAGTGATTCCTGGAGACCTGTGGAGATCATACCCTCCCTAGGGCCCCTGCCAAGCCAGAGCCCTCACCCACCACCTCCTCCAGAGGCTCGTATACTTGGAGCCCCTGTTCCCTGCCCTCGTCTCCTAGGGCCAGGCAGCTGAGGTCAGCCCTGCACCCCAGTGGCCCTGAAGCTACTCAAACTAGCCAAACCCCAAGCCACTCCCCCACCATACTGTTCCATCAGTGGAAGCCACATCGCGGGCCCCATCAACAATGCCCTCCCTCTGTTTTATAACTACTCTGCGCCTCGCTGTGGCCTGCCAGGTCTCCTGCATCCAGGGCTCCACGACAGCCAATCTCTTTCTCATGACCCTGTTTCCTGGGCCTGTGTCTTCCATCCCTGATTCAAATGCACCCCAGTTGACCTTGAGACAGCCTTTCTGCACATGAGGCTTCAGCTGGTCTGGAAAATTGAAAAGACCACCATGCCAAGACCTGAGGATAGGCCTGGGCAGAAGGGACAGTGAGGGGCCACCATGCTGAAATGGGGGGCAGGTTTGAGCAGAGAGGACAACTTGTGCAAGACCTGTGGGCAGGAGAGGGGTTTGCCTTTCTAAGGGCCTGGAAGAGGCCCAATGAGCAGGGACACACACACACACACACACACACACACACACACACATCTGGGTTCTGGTAGAGTTATTCCCCATTACCCCTGACCCCAGCTCTTGTCAACCACCTATCTGCTCTATGTTTCTATGAATGTCTCTACTCTAGGCATTTCATATAAATGGACTCCTGCAATATGTAGCCTTTTGTGTCTGGCTTCTTTCTCTTGGTCAATATTTTTGAGGTTCATCTATGTTACAGCATGAATCAGTGCTTCATTCTTTTTAACAGTGGAATAATGTTCTATATTCTTCTTTATGGCTGGATAACATTCTGCTGTACAGAGAGACACACTTTGTCAACTATTAACGGACAACACTTGGTTGTTTGTGACTCTTTTGGCTGTTGTGAATAGCACTGTTATGAACATGAGTGTGCACAGGTATCCACTGAGTCCCTACTTTCAGTTCTTTGGGGTGAAAACCAAAAATGTGAAATTGCTGGGTCATATGATGATTCTATGTTACTTTTTGAGAGGCTGCAAAAACATTTTCCAAACACTCTTTATATTCCTATCAGTAATGTATAAGTTTTAATTTCTCCATATCCTCACCAATATTTACTATACTCTGCTCCCCCACATATGTCCTGGTGAGTATGATATGCCACCCCTCTGTGGTTTTGATTAACTTTTCCACAATGACTAGTGGTGTTTAGCACCATACGTTTACTGGTCATTTGTTTTTTGTGGTTGTTTTGTTTTGTTTTGTTTTGTTGAGACAGGGTCTCACTATGTAGTCCAGACTGGCCTTGAATTCAGTGATCCTCCTGCCTCAGTCTCCTGAGTACTGGGATTACAGGCATGTACCACTACACCCAGCATCTTGGGACTTTTGTGGAAGACCAGTTGACCACCCATCCAGGATCACACATGTCAGAAGCTGATCCAGTTGGAGCTACTGTCCAGGGTGGGGCAATCAAGGTTCCAACATCAGGTCAGGGTACCTGAAACTCAAGTGCCAACTGCAAATCCCTGCCTCAAGGGGCACTGTGGGGCTCCTGAATGCTGGGTACCGGAACACCTTGCCAATGTCACCTCATGGGATCCTCACAGAAGGGCCCTGCAAGTAGATACAGCAGTTCTTTCCTGTGGGGGAAATGGAGACACAGAACAAAACCACTCAGCTGGTAAGAAGGGGATCTCGGATCAAACCCAGGGGATTTGGCTCCCAAACACTAGTAGTGAAGGAGCCGAGCCGTGGTCCTGCTGTCCCAAGCTCTCAGAAATGAATATGCTAAATCAGCAAGGAGAGGCACGCCTGTAGTCCCAGCTACGCAGGAGGTCTGAAGTCAGCTTGGGAAACTTAGTGAGACTCTGTCTTAAAATAAAATTTGAGAAAGAGCTAAGGGTATAGGGGCTGGGGATTTAGCTCCGCAGCACAGCACCTGCCTGGCAAGTGCAACGTCGTGAATTCGATTCCTGGTACCGGAAAAAAAAACTTAAAAAAAGAGCTAAGGGTATAGCTCAGTGGTAGAGTGCTTGACTAGTGTGCCAGGCTCTGGGTTCAGGTTCAGTCCTTTGTTGGGGTTCAGGGGGCTCAAGTTCAATCCCCACTTCAAAAAAAGAAAAGACTACTCTTTATAAAATGGCAACAGTAATCTCAGCATGGCAAGCCAAGGGTAATGTGCGCAGAGTGGCCACATCAACTCTGAAAAGACCATCTAACAGCATGGAGCTGGCCTTCAGGGCCCAGCTTTCTGGTGTGCTTGCACTGGCTGTTTCCTGCCTCTCAAGGATTCCATTGGGAGATGCAGGCTCCCTACAGCAAGGGACATACTTATGGCTCAGTCGTAAACTGGCTGCAATGCATGAAGAACTAAGTAGGGTTTCCAGAGTCTTCTGCAATCCCAGTAAAGTTCTGCCTGTTTCTGGAGAGTCTTGGAACACTTAGGGCCCACATACTCACAACCACATGCACACAGACACCCTGGGTTGCACTGCTTCGAGAAGCTGCCTTTCCTGGGATTCACTATTATCCAGCAAGGGAAAGTCAACCTATCTACAGGTTATTGGCGTAGCTGATATTCAAGAAATGGAGATGCTCCAAGTAGCAAAGGCAGATAAACATTGCCTTCCAAAGAGAAGTCAGCAAGAACTCTCAAGAGAGACCATCAGGTTTGTCCCCATTCCAGGGAAGGCTGATGTAGGTAGCATTTGATTCTGATGTAGAAGAGCTGGATCCTTGCATGAACATCCATGACAGTTACCCTGGGGTCCATGTCGGCAGTAGGGATCCAAAGGGAAATGTGCTCATGCCCCACATGGTCGCTGTTGCCTTCTGGAAGATTTGGTCCAGGCCAAGAAGTGGGTAATCCACCCAGGAAAAGGCCCTGTCCCAAGACACTAGTGTTTACTTCCTATGCCTACTGTAACAAATTACTACAAACTCAGAGGCTTAAAAAACAAATTCACCACCTCATATCCCTGGAGGTCAGACATCTGAAGCAGGTCCCAAAGCAAGTTCTTGGCCAGGCTTTATTGCTCCTCAGAGGCCACCTGTGCTCCTGGCTCACAGACTGCTGTGACCTCAGCTGCCTCCGTCATCCTCCCATGACTCTGACTTCTCCTCCCTCTTAAAAGGACCTGTGATTCCAGGCCTCCTTCTGTGCTCCAGGTCACATCCTCTGCAGGAGCATAGGCCAGCACCGTGGGCCTGTCCCAGTCAGAAGTGGGGGCCCCAGGCACCAGCATAGCAGGGCAGGGACACTGTTCAGCAGACAGGCTGGCGGGAGCACCTGGAGTAGCCAAGGCCCTACAGTTAGAGAAAGGGGGTGAGAATGGTGGCCAGAGACCAGACAGCAGCACAGCCCAGGAGACAGGGCTGCCAGGAAGTTGGCATGTTCTTGTTCCCAACCAGGGCTGGCTCTGGAGAGAGGGTGCTGCTCTTCCTGTGTGGGGTGTGTCACTGACTCTGTCTCTATGTACAATCATGGCTATGACTCTGTCTCTATGTACAGTCAGCTACATCGTGGCTGACAACAGAGAAAACAGGAGACCATTGTCCAGTGTAAGCAGATGTCACTGAGTCCTGTAGCTGCCTGCAATGGAGCTGAGCTGACTTCATTCCACCTGTGGAAAACCCAGGATCCTTGTTCCATGCTGAGGACTAAAGCCTCTGTTTTCATGTTCACATTTGCCTCTGAGGAAGTACAGTGCCAGATTCACTTGATGTTTGTGGGTCCTTTAAAAACTATCTAAAAGAACTTCATTGTACTAGATTAGTTAGAGATATCAGCATGAGCTCATGGTTAACTGAACACATGCAGACACAGAGATGGACAACTCGTTGGAGGGGGGTGCACACACAAGTAGCACACACCCAGGTCTCCCAACCACCTGCAGAGAATGCCCAGAAATGACACCCAACTCTAATGCAACAAGCTCTTACTCCCCGTGTGTTGGCTCTTCAGTACTGTCCTCTGATACTGGGACTAGACTTGAAGAAATGGTTGATTCCAAGAAGAAAATGACAGCAGGAGCCTAGGGAACACTGGTATCTAAAAGCAGGGAAGTGCTCTGTAATCAAAGGACACAGAAGCCA